TTTGAAGCTTAACTTCGGAGGCATCAACCTTCTCTCACCGAACATTCCATGTTGAGATGTGCTCTAATGGGCTTGTTCCCTGAGGAAAAGCACTTGGGCCTCATTTAGTCCCACTTGATTCAGGTCACACCCCAGCACCCCACTTCTGCCTATGTCTTTGCTCACCTGTGTGCTGTCCCTTGTGGGATTTTGGATCAAAGAAAGCTTGCTTGGAAATGTAATGGATTTTGCTAAATTGCTGTTCACAAAAGATACATCCACTCAGACTGCTCCAGGGCCCATATCTCCCCTACTCCAGTGAGGACACAGCGTTCTGCTTGGCTGCTTCTTCACCCTTAGGCGAAGACTTCCTCAACACTGTCTGCTGCGAGTTTGGTGCAGCCCCTTGCATTTCCCCTCCAGCCTGGACCGCCTGTCACAGCTGTGTGAGCCCGAGGGCTTTCTCCATGGTATGTTCCTCTGTGTCTTGTGGCAATGAGTAACACCACCTGGGCACATCTGGGGGTGTGGGCTGGAGGCTTGGGCCCCCAGGTGATGGAGCCTAGAGATGCAGCTACACCCTGCCTACCATACATCAGCCCGAGAGGTGGTGCTGTGGGTCTGGGGCAGGTGGCAGCTGAGCCCAGCCCTATGAGCCAGAAGCAGTGCCACGAACATTGACTGTCTGGTTCCCAAGTGCTGACGGTTTGACTTAGCATTTTCTGACTTTATGATGATGCAACTGTGACGTCCAGAAACAATGCCTCAGGCCATCGACCCTTCCTCACCATGCTGAAGCAGCAGGGAGCTGCAGTAGGGAGCCAGTCAGCCCAGGATCACAAGAGGGACAGGTGGATCCTCTCTAGGGTCTGTTCTGGGAAGGCAGGATGTTCAGGAGGTTAGGTGGCTAAATGTATTTTTTACTTATAATATCTTAACTTACAGCACATTTATTGGGAATGCAACCACATCATAAGTGGAGGTGGAGCCTCTGTAGTAAAACATCTATGGGAGCCAGACAACAGGGCACAGGGACAGACGGTTCACTCCTGCCTCCAGGGAGCCGAGAACTCAGCGGGAAGAGACTCAGGTCCTCAGATGGTGTCAGCATGGGTACTAGAGCCATGATGGGAATGTGGGATGGTCCCCAAGCAGCACAGGGACCCTGGAAAGGCTGAGAGGAGGCTGCCTGCCTGAACGTGGGAAGGGTTTCAAGGAGCCCAGGGGGCGTGGCCTGGCTAAGTCTGGGTGACAGGAGTGTCTGTGGCTCACCCTATGCCACATCCCTTCTCCTTCTGAGCATAGTGGCTGGACTTGCCATAGGGGAGACAGCCTGCGCCCACCCCGCTGGCTCCAGGATGGGCACACTTGTGGCGGGCAGGCAGAATGCTGTTCAGGGAGGGCAAGAGACCTGCAGGCCAAGGAGACTCACTGCACTGGTAACTTCTGCAGGGCCACAGGGAAGAGGACATTCCACTGAGTTGCTGGGGAATCTCCTTGAGAGGGACGCCAACCCAGGGGATAGGAGCACCCAGGGGCCGAGAGAGACCAAGCCCTGGGTTAGTCCCTTAGTCCAGCCTGTCACATGGACCTTGGAATTCCAAATGCGTGGGCCCATCAGTTCTGGCTTTCTGCTTGAGATCCATCTGGGTTCAGCTCACCTGTGACCTCCTATGCCATGGTGTAGCAGGAAAGGGGAAGGTGGAGAGATACACTGTGGCAGCTCCTGAGGCGTGTGGGAGGCCAGGCTATCATGGTTAAGATCTCTCCGCTCGCTCGCCAGAACACTGACCTCGGAGCAGCAGACTGTGGTAGTGCGGCTATGCCTCTGGGGGTCAAAGGCGCTGCTCAGAGGGGTGGGGAAGGGTGGGGACAAGGAAAGAGCGGGAGCCTCTGGAACATGCTTCCTGGGGTTTGCCATCAGGATGTACACCCTGGTCTGAAATCAGAGCTAGATTGTTAATCTGTCAGCCTCGATGGCACATATCAATTTATCTTAATTTCTGCAAATATGCTTGTGCTTTGCAGTGCGGTCTCTTTCCTGTCACTAAGAACAAGGACCTCTGCGAGATTCACCAGAGCAAACCCTGTCCTTAGTGGCTGACAGTTGTGGCTGCAACGTAGCACCTGCACTTCTGGGGGAGCTGCTGTGGGTGCAGGGGCTCCTGGGCTCCCCTCAGGCCCCACCCAGCAGGGCTGCCCCAGGGGCCAGGACGCCACACACTGGCAGATGGGCTACTGCTGGCGCTGGGAGCTTGCGCTGTAAAGGCAGGAGACAGACAGCCGGGGAGCAGCCTCCCCTCCAGACCAGGAGCCTCCTCATGACACCATCTCATTTCGCATTAAGAGCGACAGACACAACCGGTGGAAGGGAAACGCGAGCCAGCCCCCTTCCTTTTCCCAAGGGAGAGACTCCCAATATGGCTTCATGACCAAGTCTTTTGTAAATGAACTGTGGAGAAAAATGCCATTTGTTCTGCCATCATTGCCTGATGAGCAGCAGGAGATGGGTTTGGAGGCACGGAATGAAATCATTCTGGACTTAGGGGTTCCTCTGTGAGCAGCTTTTCTGTTCCCGGCTCTCTCTAGAGGAGTTACAGAATTTGCCCAAGGAGCCGGCAGTGGTGCCCAAGGAGCCAGCGACACAGCAGCTCTGTGCACACGCCCAACAAGTGTGTGCCTTCCTGCGGCAGGCAGTCTTCCAGCTCCACACTGCCACAAGATTGAAGCTTATATCCTCACACAAACCCACAACCTAATCTGGAAATAAAGCCGAAAGAATGCCTCCTAAATCCCTGTTTCATGGACAGATGGGGGAACTGTGGAGCTAAAGCCCTTCAGATTCCCTGGGGAGGAGTTCACTGTACCCGAGGAATATGTTAGCCAGAAAACTAGGCTGCATGGGCTGGGGATGTTAAATAAGTTAACGATGTGCCTCTGCTCACCAAACCTGCACCCCAGCAGACAGCTCTCTTCAGTCACTACTCTCCCGATAAGCTTGGACGCCCCGTCAGAATTCATATCCTTGCAGCACAGAAAGGCTCCGAGCAGTGGACCAGTGTTGCCTGGGAGAGGGCCCCACGTACTGTTTCCGACCTACACTGTTGCTGAGCCACTCACCAAGGGACTGCAGAATGTCCCCGGAGGCTGGGAACAGCCGCAGAGAGAAGCAAAGCTGAGAAGAAAGGGTCAGTGACGGCAGCCAGGTTCTCAGGCTTGCTGTCCCCTCAGCCGCTTTTCTCTGATGTTCCTACAGAGGCCTGTAAAACAGCAGGGGACAGCTTTGGGCTTTAGAGCAGGCAGGCAGGGCTGCAGTACTGCTGTGTGTTCAGAGCCTTACGTACTTTCCTGTGCAATGGGTGTAACAGCAAGCCCCGGCAGGCTGCTGTAAGGACTGAACCGGCCAGCGGGGGGCGGGCAAGCTCGACCCACTGTCCCCTCAGTCCAGAGCAGGTGCCACAGCCTACAGCTGGCCTCTGATCTGCCTGGCTGGCGCTTGTGCTGTTGCACCTGTTCATTGGGTGTTAACTCTCAGTATTAGCTTTAGTCTTATTTGGGTGGCTGGTCTCCCCACAAAAGCCAGCTTCCCAGATCTGAAGTTAAAACAGATGCAGACTGCTTTTCAAACCAAAATAATGTTTCAGCAGAATTCCTGGTGGTTGCTTTTGTTGCTAATCAAGAATTTATGTCTCTCAGTTCTGAACTGCTCATCCAGTATTGTTGATAATAATACAAGTACTGCTAACTTTAGGGTATTTTTTGAAAAGCGCCTAACATAGTCTCATTGATCCTTCGTGGCAATCCTGTGAGGGCTAAATTATCACAAAACCTATTCGATGGCGGCAGAAACTGCAGCTCAGTGTGGTGAGGATTCCTTGTCCAGGATACAGCTGGCGGAAAGAGACAGAGCTGGGACAGAGTCTTCCTCAGCACGCCGAGCACAGGCCTTGCGTGGACTCAGAGAAGACTGGCTATATGTTCAGGAAGTAAGCATAGTGACGGTGTTGGCCCCTCCTCATGGGCTGGCGGTGGGCCGCAGCTGGGCCCTGGGCATGCGGGAAGCTGGCTGTGGTGGCCACACAGCCCAAGGTGATTCCTCACAGGGGCTGAATGTGTGGAATTCTACAAAGAGGAGATTGTGGACTCAAGTTTGGGGGTTAACTAGTTAATGGCTTACTTCTTTACCACAACTCTCAGAAAGCATCTATATAGCTTATGCCCTGATCAGATAGGTCAGGGTAAATGTTACTCACTGAGTCTTTAACAGCGTCTACCAATTACTAGTTGCTGGCCCTGTTCCCAGTGCTAAATACTTCCTAGATAACATCTCATTTGATCTTCATGTTAGTTACTTAAGGTAGGTAATACTGTTATTCCTTTACTTCAGGTGAGGAAAGGCAGCTTGGAAGCCAACTCAACTTGCCCGAGTCAGACAGCTATTGAGAGGGGCTGGGGCTTGAACCCAGGCCTCTCTGACCCTACCACTGCAGCTTTCATCCACTGGGGTCTCTGTCAGACTCCTGCAGGGGGATGTCAAGGGGCACCAGAAAGGCCAACGGGAATCTGAGACTGCACAGAGCTTTCCCCAGCACCTTGTCTGCCCTCCTGGCTCCTCTCCTCATGACGGTGGTGCTGAGCACCTCTCTCACGGACACCCACCTTGACTGGAAGTGAGGCCGCTGCTATTCCAGCATTGTCAGAAGACAGGCAAAGCTCTTGCTGGTAAGAGGTATGGCCAAGGCTCCTGGCAACCTTAGGGTGCCCTCCATGATGCCACCACCTTTACCACACACACACACACACACACACACACACACGCACACGCACACACACACGCACACACACGCACATGCACACAAACACACAGGGCCTGCTGGTCCCTGACTTCTTCCCCCAGGGAGCGACAGGCTACAGAACCCAAATGCCTCGAGGCTTCCCAGGCTCAGATGCTAAGCAGGCAGCTGGCCAGCTCCAGCCCAAGGTGGCGGGGCCAGGAGAAGGAGACCCCTGAGCTCACTCACCTTGAAGGAGATTTCATACTGCTCTCCGCCCCAGATCTCCAAGCCAGGGTCGTACCCACCCAGCTCCCAGAACCACTTCCGGTCCACGGCGAACAGCCCGCCAGCCATCACGGGGGACCTGTCAGAGAGGAGCAGGGCGTGAGGACACAGACACGCGCCGACACTGTTGCTCCATGCTGCCCCACGCAATCAGCTGAGCTGTACGTGGGCTTCGAGACTGAGCTTTCCTCCCTCCTGCCCACTGCTTCTCTTCCTCGGTGCTGTGTTCTAACCAAATGGACCTGAAGTTTGTCCACCCAATCAACACCTGGCAGTCCTTGTGACCTGACACCACAGCAGCACTTTTCTCCCCTGGGCTTGTGTGTGGTATCCTCCCTAGTGACATGGCCCAAATCCGGTGTCTGCAGGCTTCTTATAACGACAAGCGAGGCCCTGGCCAGGCCTCTGGGGATGGAGCCTTCGGAATCTGGGCTTTTCCACACACTGCTCGGATGATCCATGTGTGGTACCCCAGTGCAGATCCTCGTTCTGACGTGGCGTTTAGAGAAGCAGCCACCACCTCTGTGCTGTCAGTGAGACAGGGAGGCACAGTGACCTCCGTCCTTCATCTCTTGCTGGTTCACTCACTCTGAGTGGCTCTGTGAAGCAGGTGTTGGGGTCACGGCCCTTCAGGGGATGCCCTGTAGTGCGACAGCCACCTCTGCGCAGAGGACCCAGAAGGTTAGGTGGAGTGTAGCCAGGGCCTCTGGGGGGACATACAGGGTGCTATAGGAACGTGAAGGGAGTGCTATGCTCCCAGCTGTTGGGGGTGAGGAGTGAGGCAAGGCGGGGTGGGGGCCGGGCAAGGAGCTCAGAGGAAACAGCATTCCAGGGCAAGGGAAGGCACCCAAGGGGGGAAAGAGCAGCCAGGCACAAAGATGACAAACTGAGGGGACTCATGGGGACAGGAAGTCAGCACGGGCAGGCAAGGTGCCAGGAGATGTCGTACTGCTATCTCCTGGAGCCCCCACGTGCTTACACAGGACCAGGCCCCAGCAGGACCAGAGAAGGGCCTGCTGTGTACAGACTTATGAACGGCCCGATCCGGCTCCGCTGGAAAATGCTGAGCCAGATCCTCCAGCTGCAGCCCCACACTGGCAGGTTCATGGTAAGTATGTCAATGCCAAAGATGCCCCTTAAGCCACAGGCCAGCCACCCTCCTGGCAGAGGGGTCCTCAGAGCACAGGAGAGGCCTCCAGGGAAAGGGGATCCTTGACTATTTAGAGGGCTGGCAGACGGCAGGTGCTACACTGAACTCCTCACCCTGACCATGTGAGGCGGGGCTCACTGTCATCACCACCAGGTTGCAAGTAGGAAGCTGGCGCCTTGCTCCAGGGCCCCTGCAGCCAGCATGATGGCTGAATATGTCCTCCAAGCCACAGTCCACTCCCAGTCCTCACCACCACGGTGCCTGGCCTTGCCCCAGGAAGGAACAATGGAAGACAGGAGATCAGAAACTGGGCGTCTCCACGCCAATCTGCTGTCCCCACCTGCTGTGTCACTGAGGAGTATCTAACCACGGGCCCTGTGCTGCCACTGGTCACAATGATGCACCCGAGATGGCACTGGATGTAAAATACCTGTGCCAGCCATAATACTTGGCATGTAGACAGAGTCTGAAAGATCGCATGTGTAATTGTAGCATATATAGCTGGTTAAATTACACTTAGATATGTTTGTTTAAATGAAACACATTATGAAAATGAAAATGAATGCTTCCTTTTATTTATTTTGGGCACTGGAGATTGAACTCAGCCTTGGGGGCACGGGTAATACCACTGAGCTATACCCCAAACTCTTCTCTTTGCCTTCCTTGTAGAGTAGCTATTAGGAGACTTAAAATCACACGCGTGGCCTTGAGTTCTGTTGTTCAGTGGGGTTCAATCGAGTCTGAGTCCTGTCTAGGGAAGGGGGAGCTACACTTTCTACTTCACAGGCCAGTATCCTGTAGGTTCCGGTAGTGCAAGACAATAGGTGTCATGTGTATTCTGTCTTCTGAGGACTGTGGCGTTTCAGGTTTTCTGGCTGGAGGAAGCTGTAGGCTTGGACAAGCAGAGACTGCTTTGGCTTGGGACATCAGACCCATGACTGTGCAGGAAGACTGGCCTGGCCTGGAGCCTCAGCAGGGCCAGGGAGCACGGGAAGGCAGGAGGTTAGCCTCAGGGCCTTCCAAAGCTGCGGCTTTGCTCCCAGAGAAGGTCTCCCCTTCCAGTGTGTTCCGCTTCCTGCAGTGCTCAATAATGCTAATGACAGTAACAGCACCACCAAAGTGCACCTTCTGTGTCCCTTGCACTGTGCCCACATTCTTTTCAGCTCTCACAAAGTTCCATTGCTACTTGCCCTCTTTTTGAGTGGATGAATTTGAAATTCAGAAATGCTACAAAATCTGTGTGGGAGCACATAGTTAGTAGGTGGAGGAGCTACAGTTCAACCTGGGGTCTGCGCCAAAACCTGTCTTTCAAACACGTGGCGGGCAGTGTTGCAGACTCTACAGTTCAGTTCCACTCTGAACTGTAGAGTCTGCAACAGTCAAAACGGGGAACGGCACCGATCCCCAAGGACCCTGCTGTAAGGCTCATGCCCAGTGATGTTGGCTGAAATTGCTTTGCCACCTCAGGCCAAATGTTAGTTCCTCCTTCGGTTTGTCTTATTTTCCAACAATTCAGGTCAAGTGAGGATTGACTCTGAGACAGACGGAGGCAGGGGCTGACTACACGATGTGGTCTTGGCTAACACCCTTCTCCAGACTGGCAAGCAGTGAGTGGTCAGGCTTCGGGAGGCCAGGGGGAGACTGCACACATCTGACCTGCTGAAGGAACACACGGAACCTGCTCCGTGGTGCCCATCACCTGGCCACCCACCATTTCCACAAAGAGGCCCAGCCTTTCCCCCTTGAGCACCCATATCATGGGCAGTTCCCATAGGAACCCTGGGCATGGGTAGAAGGCTGAGTCAGAATAGCTTTTTTCAGTTGGAAGGGAAGGCACAGAGAACTTGGGGTTCACTTGGGGCTCAGCTGTGGCAAGGCAAGGGTGGCGCTGCAAAGACGTCCATGTCCTGGTCCCTGGGACCTAGGCACAGGTGATTTCATACAGCAGAATAGACTCTGCACATATGGTTCAGGTTTTGAAACCTGAGATGAAAGGGTCAGGAAGCCCCTTAGAGTCACACGATTGGAACCATCACAAGGGCTTATGACCAGAGCAAGAGGCAGGAGAGCTGGAAAAAGAGGGGACAAGATGATGCAAGCAGATGTTTGAGCAAGAGGGGAAGGAAGAGAGGGACACTGAGAGAGATGTATGGATATGTGCTTCTGGCTTTGAGGGTCGGGGAGAAGCTGAGGACTACCGCATCTCCCCGGGGAAAACGGGGAGTGGGTTCTCCCTGAGAGTAGTCAACAGGAGCACAGCCCAGCCGGCACCATGACTTTAGCCCAGCAAGCTCATCCTAGGCTTCTGACGGTCAGAACTTCAAGGGTGGTTGTAAACTATTGGATTTACAGTAAGCACAGCAGCTATAGGGACAAATATGCCCAGAGAGCCTGGCCTGGAGCTTTGTATCCATAGGTGTTTTTGCCCTCTCTGGAAAGAGACATAGGAGTGCTTCCATAGCAGCTGTAGGTATGGGGATCTACTGCTGAGGGACAGCAGGAATCCAGAGAGGGGCTGCTGTCTACTCGGGGGCACCCAGGGCAAGTCCCCCCTTCCTGGGGCCTCAGTCCTCCATCCACAAGGGGTTGCTGAGTCCTTCACGCTAGGTCCCCTCCATCTGTTATATTCTAAGGTGCTGTGAGTCCAGTCCATGCCCCCTACACTTCTACTGTGGGGACCCTTCCTCAACACCTACACCGGGGAACAGAACGATGGGGGAGCAGGGACACAGCCCTGCACTCACACCTGCCCTCCACTTGCCAGCTGTGCGCTCTGAGTAAGTTACTCAGCCTCCTGCAGCTCCGGTGTCCCTGTCTGCAAACTACGGACAGCATTCTCGCTGCCAGAGGCTGTTTGTGTTAAACAGGACCAGGGCACAATGTGTTCTGCAATGTGCCTGTCACGGAGGATGAGGAAGACCCCAGGCTTGGAAAGGAAAGAGTATGAGTGACTGACCACTCCCCTTCCTGGGGTCCATGGCAACCTTCACAGGGGTGCCAGCATGGAGGGGCCAGCTTGGTAGCCCAGGAGCCGAGGCTGTGACAGGCACAAAGGGAGACAGTTCTGGTTGGGGGCTCTGACACCCGGTATTGAAGGAGGCCAGGAATCTAGACCCTCTGCCAAGGGCTCCTAGGGGAAGTTGACGCTGAGTGATTCTGAATGCTGTGTGTGCTGGAAAAGGGTCATGGCCAGATCCTGGCCATGTGCCTGGGCCACGCATACTTACTCAAAGGGGTCACTGGGGTCAGCTTTCTGCAGTTCCGGGGGGATCGGGATCCGCTTGTAGTACATCTCCCAGTCAAAAGCACCCCGCATGGCGTCCCCTGCCTGTGTCTCGTACCGGAAGTCGTCGTGGTCAATCACATCGATCATCGGACACACGATAGTCTTGCGGTTCCGGGCGATGCGGTCTGAAGCAGCCAGGAGATACCCATTAGTTGACGCAGGAAACACAGTGTCCAGGCTCAAGCTGTAGCTACTCCTATTTGTGTGACACTTGAGTCTGAGAGTCCCCAAGGAGGAAGGGCAAGTGCAGGCTTGGAGCACAAGGGACCGGGAAACTCATCTCAGACTTGCCTCTCACCACAGTGCCCTGAGGCAGCTCTCCTGATAATGTCACCACACCCCAGTGTCCTCTGTGAAATGGGGTGCGGGGCTCAGCCTCAGGGGTCATGTGGATGGATCTAGCAGTGTACCCCAGATGCCTGCTAACAGGAGGAGATGGATTTCCGCCCACAGGACCACCCTCCTCTGGTCTTGCCTGCCTTCCTGGGATTCCAAGTCCTGGTCTTGACTCACAGCCTGAAGCAGCCCAGAATCTGCCCCTCCCCGGGCAGTCTGCCCTCCCAGCAGTGGGCACCTCTGGCTGTGGGCAGTCGGTAAATGGCCCTCCTCAAGAGTTCAGCTCAGGTGTTCAGTGAGAACTGCAGAAGAGAATGGATGTCCCCCAAACCTGGAGACACACAGGCAGAGTCTGGTGGACCTCCTCCTTGCCGGAATGCTCCCGACTAAGTGGACCAGGACAGCAACGAAGGCCTTGACTTAAGTAGCCTCATGGTCCCCTTGAGGCCCGGCAGAAAGGAGTGGTTCTCTATGATTCACTCCGTGCCCTGCCTGCAAACACACTCTACCTCTGCTCTACTGGGCCTTCAGAGCTCCTCTCTCCAGGGAGCCCTGTCTGAGGTCAAGGGGTCTGGCCAGCTCCGGAGCAGTGGGACTGCCGTAGGGGCGAATGTGGTGTCTCTCTCTGGGCCAGGAGTTAAGTTCAACTTTTTTTTTCTTTTTTGTGGAACCAGGGATTGAGCTCAGGCCCTTGTGCTTGCCAGGCAGGGGCTTATTCTACTGAGCCATCTCTCGGCCCCTAAGTTCAAAATTTGCAGCAGGGAGTTATGTAGGGCCAGAGCAGACCAGTAGCTACCAGGACTCAGGTTTCACCAAGCAGGAACATATTTTCCTTCTCTGAGAGAAAGCAGTATTACTGCCTTTTTCTAGAGTGAAGACACAACTCATCAGTGAGTGGGTCATGAAAGGAGGTAGGGTGTGTGTGTGTGTGTGTGTGTGTGTGTGTGGGTGTGAGATCAACCTAAACAAGAGTTTGGATTTGAGGCTGCCTTCCTGATGAGGGGTACATTGACAGAGGAAGTGACGTCAGGAGATGTTTTTCATTCCTATGCAGCATTTGTGTATGAATGTGTGCATTTGTGTATTCACATGAGATGTCCCCTGTATTTCTAGCTATAATATGCAGTTTTAAAACATTGAGAAGTGTTGTTTTTGGCAGCCTACCCCCAAGCATCCATGCACGGCCTGGGGCCACCAGAGCCAGCTGGACCTGAAGAGTGTCTGGAATCCCCACACCGGCTCTACCCAGGGCTACTGGTCGCTTCCTGGGGCTTTCCCGTAGACAGGCTTGCTGAGGAGTCGTTATGTATTTCTACAGTACTGGGGACTGAACTCAGGGTCTTTGCACTAAGCTACACTCTGCCTCTTTGTATATTAATTCTGAGACAGGGTCCTCGCTAAGTCACTAAACTGCCCATGCTGAGCTTGAAATTGTCACCCTCCTGTCTCAGTCTCCCAGAGTTTGGGGATTGCAGGCATGTGCCACCTCGTCAGGCTTCATGGAGGACTGAAAGACGTAGTGAAAGGCACCCATCTGAATGACCCCTGACCTGCCTGGAGGCTGAGCTAAGACACGGTGCCCTGCTGGCTGCTGGCCCACTAGGGAGACCTGAGGTCAGGAAGCACAAGAAGGCGGCATTTCATGGTGCTGTGTGTGTCCTGGAAGCAGAACACCCAGGCTCAAGTCATGGTTTGCATCTGTGAGCAGTGTAACCTTGGGTGAGGCAATCTGCTACCTCTGACTCTCAGTTTCTGTGGTGATTAAGCTTGCTGTGTCAATAGGATTGGACTGGAGCATATTCCAGGTGTGTCTGGCTGGGTCACGGTGCTGTGACCTCGGGAACCTTACCTGATTTGGCTCTCCTTCCTCCCTGCACCATGAACCAAGCACCTGTGCTTCGCCTTACCCTTGGGGCCAGCGGACTATGAACAGAGTCCCCTGAAACCATGAGCAAGGGAAGCCTCTCCTCTAAATTATGGGTGGCAGGCATTGGGTCTGAGCAACAGGACAGCTGACACATCGTGTCCTTGCTGACACTTGGAGGGTGGCATGGCCTTTCTCACGGGTCTCTGTGAAGACCAGATGCTGAGCCGGGACGCCTCGTGCAGCCCTGGCCCGGGGCATGGGAAGCAGCTCGGAAGCACGAGCTGGAAAATAGCATTGCCCTCATTCTCTTTGTGCCTCAGTCTTCTCATTTGCAAAATGTGGATGCAAATGCCCCGCCTGCCTGCTTTACTGTGTGACGGTTGGATTAAAATGTGGACAGGGCCCAGTGGAGCCATGCAGTGGTGGTGATGATGGTGGCAATCGTGATGGAAACGACATCAGCCGCGGGTCTCCCGGTGCGTGAGAATCTTTCTCAGGCTCAGAAATGTCGAGTCTCTGAAGAGGGCAGAATGAACCATGCCTGTAGGTGTTAATGGTTTCACAGACAAAAACCATTCTGTGCTCCGTCAGCTACGGATATTAGAGGGAGAGACCTTTAAGTCTACACCACAGGCTCACGTTTCTAGTGGAAAAAGGAAAAGAAAGGAAAAGGGCGGGCGCTTCTGCCACGTGTGTCCAGATCATGAAAGTTGCCCTCCTGCGTTTCCATAGGAACAGAGCTAAGGGCCGCTCGAGTGCCGGTTCAGCCCATGCATACTGCCTCATCCCCTCAGCGGTCACTGGGTGACCCCACCAGTGGGCTGTCCCCTCAGCACTGTCAATTAGGCGGCTTATGGTAAGGCTCCTTCCCTCTGTCTCCCCCTTCTCTCCCTCCTCCTCCCTCTCTCACCTTCTCCCCATCTCTCCCTCCCCCCTCTCTCCCCTCCCTGTCCGCGACCCCAGTGATGAGAAGCAGCTGCGGACAACCTCTTGGTTTAATTAAATAAACACTTCACCAAAAATACTGAGTGTATCTTTCCCCCAGTCCACTGATGACCCTGGAACACAGGTGTCTAAAGTCCACAATGTGGTAACAGAGCGCCCTAGGTCTGCTGGGCGTGGGCTTGGCTGCTGCCCGCCCTCCCTCATGGTGGCATTAGTTAGCTGGTGCTCCTCAACACGCGGCCCTAGAACCACAGCACTGGCTGCTCGGGAGCTGGTGAGCTACTTGTCTCTCAGACTGCACTAGTGGGGTCCCCAGGTGGGGGTGGGGTGCGGAGCCAGGGCCTAACAAGTCCCCCAGGTGCTTCTGCTTCACGCTCAACTGAGCACTCCACTCTGTCCTCGTTGTCCCCCCTTGGCCTTCATGACACGCCTTGGGAGTTCCCTTTTCTCTCCAGGTTGTCAACTCCTTCCCCGCCCACCCTGGCTGGCCTTGGGCTGGGGCCCAGTCTCTGCAGATGGCCCCTGTCCACGTCCACCTGCCTGCACAGCCTACTGCTTCCTCAGAGAAGGCGATGGGGTTGGCTCTGGGGCCCTGCTGGCCTTTGTGGCCCCACCCCAGGCTCTGTCAGGAGCTCCTTCCAGAGGGGAGGTAGGGTGCAGCTCGAAAGGGCTCTTGGGCGCTCCCCACTGCCTCAGCCCACTTGGCCCACAGCCTTCTGCGGGATCCGGTCACCCCAGGCCGCCCTTCCCTGGCTTACCAAGCAAGGGGGGCAGCCAGTTGACGTTGGCCTCGCAGTGTGAGTCCAGGAACGTGACGACATCCCCAGTGGCTGCCGAGGCTCCCAGCATGCGAGTTCTTATCAGGCCCTCACGCTTCTTGGTTCGGAGAATCCTCACGCTGGGGAACAGTGCCATGTAATCTTCAAGCGGCTTCTTCAGGTGCTCTAGGGGTAAGATGGCAGAGGACAGGTGGGTCAAAACGGATGCCCAGTCATTGTCCTTTTGACTCACCCCTCCCCCCCCCCGTGTGTACCACACTTTACAGTTTGCACACAGCTTTGTGGTTCACTGCCTTAGTGGATTGTTCAGACAGGGATAGGGACAAGGAAAGGGTCATTATCTGTAGCCACGAGTGGGGAGGCTGAGGATAAGGGTCCACCAGTGATAGTGCCAGACCTGGAACACCAGGAGACGGCTGGTAGAAGGGCACGTGGCTCTGTGGCTCATGCCTGGCTGGGACCTGGTCTCTCATTTTCTCGTAAGACAACTTTGATTTTTCCTTGGGACTCTGTCCCTCCCAACTTGGAGAAGGCTGACCCCAGCCCTGGTTCCAAGGAGGAAAGGCATGTGGCAGGCCTAACCACCAGGCCAGGCCAATCCTCTGGCCCAGACCTTGGTGCAGGGCTGGCCACGTGCCCTGAGCTGGTCAAATAATGAGTCTTGGGAACATTTTTCAGCAGTACTGCAAAGACAGAGCTCTTTCTTTCTGCAGGGTCCTAGGTTGGCTGGCTGGCAGTCTGGAGTTACACTGGGACTGGGCAAAATAAGCTGATGAGAGGTGGTGGTGGGAATCTGCAGGAGCTGATGCCAGTATGTGAAAATAAGAGGCAAGAGACAGGGACAGGGACAGACATTTTTCTGGTGATGCGTCTCTTCCTAGATGCCCCTGCTCCTGAGGCACGCTGACTCCAAGTTTCTTACTGCATGTAAACATTTTCCTTTTTTGCCTGTTATATTGTGGGCTGGATTTGTGTCCTGTGCCTGGAAAACTTGTCTGGAATAAATATCACAGTTGCTTTTCACTAAAAGTCCCAGCATTAATGTTGGTGTCTTTTGATTTTAATCTGGGTTAAAGTCCTTCACGAAAACTCTCGAGAGGCTAAACAGTTCCCATTGCTTACGGCATGTGTAGTGGTCACTGAATGCCTTCTTCTCATGGCTAGGAGAAAGGCTGCATTCACTCATGACTTTTATTCAGCATTTTTTTTTAAATTCAGCATTTTACTGGAATTGCGACTTAGTGAAGTGGGTTTAAAAAAAATAAAAGGCATAAAGATTTGGTACAAAAAGGTAGTGTCTTTAGCTATTCATGACATGATCATTTACATAGAAAACCTCACAGATCTGCAAAGAAAGTAAAACAAACATATAAACTTAGCAAGGCTTGAGAACAGGCCAGTATTTAAAACCACTTGAATTTCTCTATACAGGCAAATAAAGAACAAAGGGACAGGCAATTAAAATGGTCAAAATGCCATTTAAAATGTTAATAAATGAAGTGCAAAATGTATCCTCTAACGTTTATAAAACATTGGGCCAGCCAGATAGCTCAGCAGATTAAAGCACCTGCTTAGGCAGACGCAGGGACCGGGGTTCAATCCCCAGCATGCTGTGCCAGCCCCATCCCTGGGGAGTGCCAAGACTGCCATTGAGACTGGGCATGGTGGCGTGTGCCTGTAATCCCAGAGCTTGGGAGACTGAAAACAGGAGAATCATTATGAGTCTGATCTATGTAGTGAGACCCTGCAGACCCTGTACTAAATACATAAAAAATAAAATAAAATTACAAAACATTGTTGAAAGAAGCAAGAGATCGATATACATGGAAAGAGAATCCTCGCTCATAGATAAGAGATTGTTAAGATGGAAATACGTCTCAGATTGACATATAGATTGAATTCTATCAAAATCTTGGCTGACTTCTTTGCAGAAAATGACAAGTGACAAACTGATCTTCAGATTTATATGACAAAGCAAGGGATGCAGAATAGCCAAGTGATCTTTTGGAAAAGGAGAAGGTGAAGGCTCACATTCGCTGATTTAAAAAACTTACAACCAAATGCTCCAGCAATCTAGATAGTGGGAAATGGGCATAATGACACACAGTATAAATCAATGTGACAGAACTGAGGATCCAAAATAAACATTCAGATGCATGATCGGTTGATTTTCCTAAGGCCATTTAGTGGGTGAGAGAAGTCTTCCCAAGGATGGTCCCTTTAGTGCTCACTTCGGCAGCACATATACTAAAATTGGAATGATACAGAGAAGATTAGCATGGCCCCTGTGCAAGGATAACAGGCGAATTTGTGAAGCATTCCATATTTTTCAAGATATCATGGCTGCATCTTGTCTTCTGAATAACTACTAGGAAACAACAATATGTAATGTATTAATTATTGTAACCATCCTACTAACCTTTTTTGAAACTGTTTCATTGCTATTTTTAAAATCTTTTTTCTCATTAAAATGAATTAAAAAAAAAGAATGGTACTCTTAGTATTATACTCCTACCTATAAAAGAATATAGTTGGACCCTTCCTCTTTATCTCATATACAATGAACTAAAATGGATAACGGACACAAAACTATACAACTTTCAGAAGAAAACTCAGGAGTAAATTGTTGTATCCTTAGATTAGATGATGGCTGCCTAGGTGTGACACCACAAACTCAAGCAAGAAAGAAAAAGTAAATTAGATATCATAAAAATTAAAACATAATTTACAAAAAGGCTGAGGATGTAGCTCAGGGTTTAATTCCCAGTACTACAAGAGGAGGAGGAGGAAGAAGGGGGGAAGGGAGAGGAGAAGAGAGGGAGGGGAGGAGGATTAGAGGAGGGAGAAAAGAAATATTTTATGCATCACAGGACACTATTGAAAAGATGAAAAGCAACTCATAGAAGGGGAGAGAATATTTGCAAATCAGGTATCTGATAAGGGACACTGGTATTCAGAAGACAGAATGAACTACTGCAACTTAATAATAAGAAGTAGGCTAAATACTTGGGAAATATTCTAATGTTCCTCAGAAAGTTAGACACAGAATTACCATACTTGACAAATTCCGTTCCAATGGACACATCCAAAAGGGCTGAAAGCAGGCATTCAAACATATAATTGCATGTAAATGTTCATAGAAATACTATCCATAATAATCAAAGGTGGAAATAACCCAAGTTCCCATTACTTGATGAATGGATAAATGGATGTGCTATATTTGTCAGTCACACAAAGGAAGACAGCACCAATATGTGCTACAATATAGATGAACCCAAGAAACATTATGTTTAATGAAAGAACGGTCAGACAATAAGTCCATTTAGATGAAATTACAGAGTGGGTAAATCCATAGAGGCAGAAAGTAAATTAGTGATGGACGGGGCTAGGATCAGGGAAATTGCAGTCTACTTAATGGGAATGGGGGGCATTTCAGAGCAATGAGTAGTTTTGGAACTAGATAGCTGTGATGTTTGTACATTTTGAATATGTGAAATACCCCTTACCTGTATGCTTTAAGATGGTTAGTTTTATGTTATGTGCATTTTTCCTCAATTTTAAAAATGGGCAAAAGACATGAGTAGAAGCCTCTCAAAGAAAATATACAGAGGCCAATGAGCATGAAAAGATGCTTGACCTCAGAAGTCATCACGGAAATGAAAACTGAAGCCAGAATTAGATGCTGCTCTACATGTACTAGGATTGCTGTCGTAAAAAAGACAGACAATAGTAAGTGTTGACAAGGATGTGGAGGAAGCAGAGCCCTCCCACACTGCTGGTAAGAATGAAAAATGGTGCAGCCACCCTGGAGGACATGACAGCAATTCCTCAAACAGCTAAACACAGATCTATGATGGAAACCAGCAGTTTAGCTCCTCGTTATATGCCCAAAGAAATAAAAACATATGTCCACACATGAAATAAACCAGCTGTACAAGCTTAAATGCTGAATGCTTTCTCTTATATGAGCAACTCAAAGTATAAGACAGCAAAATAAAAGGTAGGTAATAGGAAAAATGGAGATAGAGGTTTTACAAAAGTGAAGGGAACCAAGAGATGGAGAGAGAGGGAGGGAGAGGAGGAGAAAGGGATGCAGGAAGAATCGAGAGGCATCAGCCAGCTCCCTAAGAATAATATAATCATTAGGCACTGTAAACATATACGTGTAAAAATAAGAATTAAGACACTCATCAAAACTCATCTGCTAATGTTTACAGTGCTGTTATTTATAATAGTTCCAAATTAGAAATCGTCCAAATGTCCATCAGTTGGTGAATAAATAGATAAACGAAGTGTGCTCCATCCATGTCACTGAAATGCTATCAACGATACAAAAGAATTCTGCAATGCAATAGTATAGGTGAACCACAAAAATACTGTGCTAGGTTACAGAAGCCAGACATAGAAGACAAGATTTATAGTCTTCTATCTACATGAAATTTCTAGAAAGGCAAAACAGAAAGAGCAATGGCTGCATGGGGATGGGCTGGGAGCGAGACTGACTGTTAAGAGGCAGCAGAGAGCTGCTCTGGAGTGACAGGAAGCTTTGACACTGGAGAAGGCACGACATTTTATAGCTGCCTATTTATTTAAAAACACATTAAGCTGTAGACTGAAAACAAGATTTTTATGGTATGTAAATTATACTCCATTAAAACCACCAAATTCTAAAAAATCAATTGTATTTCTATACAGTAGTACAAATCAATTGGACAGCCCAATTCCAATAGTATTTACAGCGGCCTCATGTATCTACAAGCCAAAACAAGTGGAGAAAGAAATCGTGTTTGTAGAAGACTCAATATTGTGAAGTCATTTCTCTTCCAAAGTGATCTATAGATTCAAAGGAAACCCCCTCTCCCCCTCCCCCAAAAAAAATCACAGCAGAGGGGGCCGGGGAGATGGCTCAGTAGAATAAACGCTTCCCTGGCAAGCGGAAGGGTCTGAGTTCAATCCCCGGTTCTGAAAAAAAAAAAAAAAAAATCACAGCAGACTTGCTGAAATTAACAGCTTGGTTCTAAAATTGACACAGAAATGCAAAGGACCTAAAAGAGCCAAAACCACCTTGAAAAAGAACCAAGTCAAGGAACTCACACTACTTTCAAAACATATTAAAGACCTACAATAAGCAAAGCAGTGTGGTACTGGCAGCGCGTCAATGAAGA